CAAATACGTATCATTGACTGAGCAGCTATACGATTACCAAAAGACGTCAAAAGCTGTTACTGTAGTCAGTTGCCTTATTATACAAGCGATCGATTGAAAGTTATCTGTAAACGTTTCTCAATAAATATGGTTTCCAATACGGAACAGCAAGAATTATGACTGCCAATTCATTGGTTGACTGAATAGTCACTATAATACAAATATAGATCTATATCCCTATTTTGTTTTAATAAACACATTTGGATTTATATGTTGCTTGCATTTTTTCGTCTACACCGAAAACTGCAGAGTAACTTTTACTAATCTTGTGTAGGAACAAAGACTGTTCCATTTATGCTTCTTAGGTGTGAGTGAAAATTCACTGATAGAAACACACTCTTATCTATCTATTGTGAATGGGCAGAATAAGGCGGCATTCTGCATTGTGCTTAGATTACTAAATACCAATGAAATATTTATACATACTCCTTGCTGTTAAATAAATCAAAAACATTTTGTCACCCTACTGTAGCTAAAGATTATGTATTGGGAGGGATTAATATTGTTGACATTTACGATGAAGCAAAACTGAACAGAAATTTTTGTGTTAGGCTTCATTTTAGTGCTGCGCAGCCGCACACATGTTCAAGGGTCTCTGAGAGCTGACTTAGTTACTTTAAATACTTTGCGCAAATTTATTTAAAAGATATCTATCTGTTGTCTCTGTTTTCTTGTTATTTCCAACAGATATATTCTGAAATCTTTTACTGATTATTTCTGAAGCTGTGTTTGTCTTGCCAGTATTGTAAATCCGTTTTTTTGCAAATTTTGGCGTGTTGGCACCCATGGCTGCATGATTACAATTTATTTTGACTATTATTCTTATGTCAAAATGTTATCTTAACATTTAATAGGTAATTAAGAGTTACGACCATCTCCTTTTTGTATACAGAGAGCTGGTAATTAATTTTCTTGGCTAGATGATACTCATGATGTACAGGAGCTGAATAACTAACATCACCAGGAATTGAGAAAGCACCTTCATATTACCATAAACCTTTGAATAAACTGGTTGAATTGTTTGCTGTATCTAAAATATTACTGAAGTTATTTTAATGAAAGATTGAATAAAACAGCATGAAATGTATTCACAGTATACAGATTTGAGGTAATAGTTAGTAAGTCTTCCGAAGGCAAAATTATTAGGAATAAGAAAACTAATATGTGGGAACTCACTTAAATAATCAACTGGACAAAAATAGAATTTCTAAATATTCTTAGATATTGAGTGGTCTGTTTCGAGTTCTAAATTCACGCGAAAATTCACATCAGTGTTTATTTTCTTGGCTACGGCTGAATTTATGTTCACTTAAAATTCCTTAATACCCCCTTTTGCGAATTTGATAGGGACTATATGATGTGGCTAATAATGTTTCCAGCTTAGACTAAAATGAGAGTAGAAGTCTTACTTGAATCACAAATATAAATCAACTCCTTTCAAGATAGACTCCACATGTAAATGGTAATCTTAAACAATTTCTTATGTGATACCATTAACTACTGACTGACTGAGACCAGATATCACTCAAATTAATCAGTAGTGTATTCCAGCCAGACTGAAGTGTACAACACAACAGTTGGCGGCTTCACTCGTTTGGGGCCAGGCTCATCACTGATGTACCCAGCCTTACTCAAGTCAGAAAGTCGGGACAGTTGAAAACATCCAAATTTTGTGACAAAATTCCACCGCGATTTGTGTGACTTTCGAAACGCTAGTTGGTTTAGAAATAAATCCACTGTAGCTTATGAACTAGTGACATTTTTTTGAAAACAGCCACAATCCAAATTATAAATCATTTGTGTTTGATCGGTATGTTTCTTCCAGCTTTCACTCTTTCTCAAAAGTCAAATGTATTCAGGGAAGAAAAGCAATTATAACAAGTATCCTGAAAGCCACAATCCCTCCTTGATAATTCATCAGGCTTTTTAATTACTCAGCAAATTGCGTTAGAACCTCTTTAACATTCATTTTTACCACAATTAACCCACCACAAATTAATAGCAGGAGCTGAGGACATTAGTCAGAATCATCGATTCCATGTATGCTCGCTTGTGCAGTAACAGCCGCACTTTCGAAATTCTGGGAAGTACTATCCTCAGAAGTCCTATAAAGAAATGATGATGATTAGTTACAGCAATGGAATGCATCATCTCTGTGAGAACCTTTTGGATTACCACGGCGAATAAACCTATTCCGAGTTTGTCTTCATATTATGTTTTCCACCACATGAGTCGGACCACTTTCGTTAAGCTGATGAATACTGAAACATCAATAAAATTGTGACTCAAAGACACACACTTAAACCTGTCTGACATTCCAAAAGGCTGTCAGTGTTCTATCATCAGTAACAGAGGTTTCGTAATTTTTTAACGTATTTTCAGTGTGGAGTTAAATGAGATAAATGCTATTCATTAACTTGAAATTTTCGCTCCCTCGTTGAAGAAATTATTGCTATCATGCCATCTAAGTCGTGTGATTTCCCCAGTCATTAGAAATGGTTATCTAGTTAGTTAGGTATTTACTTACGTAATTCTTGAGCGTGAGACAAAAATGAATGATAATTTTGTTCAAATTAAATTCGTTGATGAAGTGAACCATTTACACAAATGATAACCACAATTACTTTCCTGATTGTTTCTTTTTGTCTGTCGTCTTTTTAGATTTTCAGTTGTTCAAAATGCGCTGAAAACCAGTTAACAGCTCATGGTTCTGAAACATACGCATTTTCCATTTTCACGGCACGAATTTTTAAACTTCCTCTTCGTTATCAAACCTGTACCAAGTATTATCCCATTAACTGTTTTACGAATTCATATCTAAATGCTGCATATACACCGCATTAATCGGTCTGATGAGATCGCTGTTACTTTCAAGTACCTTACTAACTTGCTTACAAATGGATAATCTAAGGGGTATTAAGAAGTCTAAATTGTTTTGATCTAATGATGGATGCAGAAGCTACTAAGAGATTTTAAGGTATCTTGGAAGCTTTCGTCTTGAGAACATTGTGAAGATGAATTGATCATATTAACCGCTAATAGTCATATGCTGAACATTATATCAGAAGACTGATTATCCCTCATATCGAAATACCTTCATTCATCTATGCGGTCTTGATGTGTGATAAACAGAATTTCAGGTACATATTTATTTCCTAAAGAGTTCTCAGTGACATTGCAGTCAACAAATCAACTTTAATACAATATCGACTTCAAAATCTACTCTACTCAACACTTACTTTACTCAGTCAGAAACCCTCATTTACTTATTTATGAATTCCAGGTGGTGAGGAAGTCATTACATATAACGGGGTAAATAAAAATCGTGTTTTTTGATCTTAACTCTGTCATTTGTGACTTGTTGACCTCGGAGTCAACAAAGTGAATAAAGAATTTCATATGAATTACTTGCAGTTTTCCGTATATTTCAACTTACTTGCCAAGTCTACAATTCCGACAATGTTGAAATTTGGTGAATGCACTAAAGTGTAACTTACGCATAAAATGTGTTGTTCAGTCTTTCTTGCAGTATAACTAATCAGACTGATGCTTCAATATATCACTGTAACTTCACTTCAGTATGTTTCCTTTAATAGTGACTGTAATTAACCTCATGGTGTCTTCTTCCCTTTATTTTGTAAGGCATATTAATAATGTGAATTGCTGAATATTAAGAAGTTTGAAGAAAGAACTCCCACATGCACAATTCTGAGCGATAAATGTCGAAGACGTCTTCATTATTCATCGCTAGCTGTCAGAACATCGAGATTTTATATGTTGTTCTATAAAACTTCGCAAAATTTCTTACAAATTAAAGTCCACTCTCATGATTACATCAGTCATTCAGACACAACAACTAGTGTTCTAATGAAAAGGTGATTGCCTGATGACACCCATTTATGATGAGATAAACATTTGAAAAGCCAATATATGATAAAGTCGGAAATTCAGTACAATACTAACTTTCACAATCTGCAACAAGGTGAATATGGACACACAATTATTTATATGCAATTATTAGTATTTAAGTTTATAGAAATGTTTCGTTTCAATATTTATATGTATCTGACAACAGTACAGAGAACAGCAAACTCTCCTACCACAAATATATGCGAACATGGTGTTTAAATATTTTCTAGTCTCTACGTAAACCAAATAGAAATCATAGACTTGAATAAACAAAACTCACGGCACCATTATTCAGTCACCAGCATATGTATTCCGGAACATTTCATTTCATGAATATATCATCATACAGCTTCACAAACCAGTGAGAATTAAGCTTTTATAATAACGTACGGATAGTTTATAAGCCCTTCAAATAAGTTGCCTGTGTTCAGTTCCTATTTATGGTAACCGTGTACACTTAACAGTTGAAATCGAATTCACTCAAATGAATATGTGTTCCACAGTGTCACCTATTTGTATCAAAGAGTGAGGCGAAATTGTTAACTTCGTTATTTCGAATACATTGTTCATCGTTATTTCAAGAGAGACTTTGTAGACATTTATTTATCTGTCTTATCGATCACAACAAGGAAGCCCACTCCTTTTAACACAATAGTTTTCCACTTAAGTGTAGTAACAATAAACAATAAAGTTTTAACGCTGCGTAACGCCGTCTAGGACCACTCAATACTAGTTCGTCTATTTATCTAAAAGTCTATTTCACCTATTGAAAAATGAGATCCCCTGAAGGTCAGTTAGATTTACAGATTATCACCTTCACAGCAGTATTTCATACCACCTACTAAAATAGATCCTGATAAAGTCATCCAATTAACAGCCCTTATTCTTTCTAGTGCAGACCTCAGTTATATGTAGCATCCTGATAAATACATACATACATATATATAAAACGAGGCTATGAGTGTTTGCCTAATAAAATTCGACTTCGTATTGCTGTCGAGAAATGGAGACTCCAAATAGTATATCCATATACATAATAAAATAAACATTCACAGGTGGAGAAAATCCAGTTGGATTTCATAATCATATTAACAACGAAAAATGAACGAAAAAAAATGTTGCCTGCAACGATTTCGTTTTCCTAGCTGTACAATAATATGTAGGTGTGAAATAAATGTTGTGATGTGTGCTACAATTCGATAGTGAATGGGAATATCCAAGTGCAATAATATTAGTGTCTCTCATTATGAATCAAAAACAGGGATAAATAAATGTTAGCACTATGCTACAGCAGCCATTTGAGTAATAGTTGACAGGAAGTATAATTAATTTGGGAAGTGTGAATATGTGAATTTGTTAGGTTAAATATTATATAACACAGATGCATGATGTATGAGTTAACGTCAATAAAATAAGTAGAATGAATTAAAATATGTTGAAAAAAAAGGAGATATTATGAAACAAAGTTGAATGATGAAATTTCCTGCATCGCGAGGTAAAATTATGATCTAAGAAACGAAAAAGAGTGTGAAGAATGTGTTTGCAATCAATATTCTATCTTAATGTTAGGCAGTGTCACGTCTTCCACTATAAAAAGTAAGTGCACTTCTTATCAGTAAAAAGTAGTCTGAAGTTATATGAGATAGAATGTAGTAAAGAATAGTAAAGAAAAAGTTCATATTAATTCTCGAATAGCAGTCTAGTTTTCTCTAATCTACCTTCTCAGAAAGCACCTAAAACGTACAGTTTCCTCTTCTGAAGTCCTCACTCAACCTCGCGCAGTTTGCTATTTCGCCATTCTCTGAAGAATACAGCTTTAGGAGAACACGTCCGCTTTGCTCTGCTGTCCACAGTCATTTTCAACCAGCTCTACAACTACCCACAAGTTTTCATTTTTTTATATCATTATCTCCACCATGTCACTCTCAGACGACATACTTACCAACTCCTACATGGGAGTACGATGTGTGGTGTTACTTGCACATCTCCTCAGAGCTTTTTGAACATACTGCTGAAACAGTGTTCCTGAATGCTACTAATGACTTATTTTAGAAAATCTTGAGCCGAAACAAAAGTGCACGTTTCAAGAGTTATTAAAACGAAATTATATATATATATATATATATGTATATATATATATATATATATATATATATTAATCAGTATTTCTACAAATAGACTTACTTTTGTTGTCGTCGTCTATGGGATGATCATTTTCAATATTTTAAGTATTCTACTATTTCAATGTGAGACAAACAAACTAGTAAGACTCCATTATGGGAAAAATTTGTTTTGATAGAGTCTCACAGTGTTATACAGTAATGTTTACCAATGACTTTTCGATCACAATTTGTTCCTCATAATCCATCAAGGCGAGACGTTTATTCATATCTTCACAAATGATCAGTTTAGCCTCAACCTAACTTCACACCGGATGACTGATCTTATTTATTTTTGACATCTCATTTAAGTGCACCAAAAGACACCATGCGTTAAAATGCTTCCAACTGTTTAGTTAATAAATGTTTAAAATTGAAATAAAGGACGCATTCACGCACTATGCACATGTCATGTGGTAAAAGTGCAAAACGTGGCATCAAATGGCGCAGAAAAATACACCCAATAATCGTCACTCACTACACGGGATTGGCTCGTTCTACTTTCCCGTGTAATCTGTACGATTTTGTTAGATGAAATATGAGAATTTTAACACAATGTAAGAAGTGATTGATGAACATTGTCGATATCCTGTTGTACCAATTTCCCTGAAACTTGTTGAGTGAAATGTAGGTGAAATATTTGCTGAGCCTCTCTCATTCCCCACATCTTCTGGGCTAGTCTTCTTCTAATTTAAATTGATAGATAAAGAGAGGATCAGAGTATCCGAAATGGGATTCTCAAATGACTTGAATTTTTCAGATAATCCATATGTTTTCGCAATGACAACCGAGTAATTAATTCATTCCAAGTGTCACTTTATTGTTAGCCATTCCGATATCCTGTGATTGTGCCATCATTGTTAATTCACTCATAGCCGAAGGGTTTTCAATCATATCACAACAGATAACTTGATTATTTTTTGTGTGAAATGTAATTATTTGCAAACACGTATGCCTCTATCAGGTTTCCTATACACCGTGATAAAGTGAATTAGCGAAATGTAATAAACTTCACATAGAAGATGACTGATGGTTTGAAACTAAGTGGATTTTAGTCGACAGTAGTGTTCAGACAGGTAGAATGTGTCTATGAACTGGTGAGTAATAAACATGCAACTGACATGGTAAATGGACAATCAAAGTTACTGAGCCATTTTGTGGCTTAGAAATGAATACAATTGAAGTTAATTTGTCGTGAAACCACTGGTTGAGATTAAAAAGCGCAAACCTAAGTGGTTATTACTCGTAAATATCTTATTTCGTTTACTAAGAATCTAAATTGCAGGTTTTGTGAAACGGTAATTGTATATTTCAAAATTTTTCCTAATTCAAAATGTTTATAGAGATATGGTGTTCACTGTCCAGCTCAGAATCAGATTCTTTCAATATTAATCACTAACTTCATTGTTCAGTAAAGGTGGATATATTTTAGCAACTGCTTAGGCATAGCGCACCATATATGTCACCCCTAAGTGAATACGTATCAACATCACACTCGTCAGAAACACTTTTCATCCCAAAAAATTCAAATGGATTAAACCCGGTTACAGTTCGCTTGTTATCTCATAAATCTAGTCGTCAATGTGGAAATTTCAGTATGTAGATATTAAGGAAGAGATGTGAAAATTATGACATGTCATCCTGTCACAGTTCTAAGCACAACAAACAGTGATAACGAAAAAGCTGTTGGCTGCTGATAATAATATGCTCTAGTAAGCCACAACAACAGAATACTAGAGATACGTGGTATTGATCGTTTTTATTAGAAGCATTGATAATCCCTATACGACAACCATATTACAGTGTCTTTCAACAGATGATATAATATCATCTGGTGTGACAGTTTCTCAGACCTACAAATAATAAGAAATGATCGCCTATTTGACCTTGAATGTCACCAAAGGGATATTAACCAGTTCAAGTGGAATGTTATAAAGGGATATTGTTGTGAATTCTACAGCGCCTAACTGACACTGCGAGAGCTAAACGACGATCAGTTGAGTAAATCGCGGGCTGAAAAACTTCACATCGAAAACAGTTGGTAAACCAACCTCATAAGTTTTACAAGCGATAAGAAGCTGTTTCGAAATGCTCGCCTTCTTTGACACAGTTGCAGTCATTTTTGAAAAGCACTGATAATTATTAAATTGTGTTCTTTCTAACAGCACATAGCACATGAAGCTATGGATTACTTCCCCGATTCGACATGCTCACGCTTTCTGTATAGACAATCAAGCAAGAAAATCTTCATGTCATTCAGACTGTTAATATTCTCATCACAATTTGCTAATTTGTGTTGCAACATAAAATTTGCCAGTCAGTGTTTATTAGTCACATGAGTGACTGGAAGTGGTGGAATAATCGCTGACTGAGAGTAAAGGTATCAGAATGTCTACATATGTAATGGCGTCCACATTCAGGAAGCCATCATACAAAACAATTGAAGGTTGTGCATCTAAGGTGCAAAGACAATTATTTAATTATTATTAACTAAAGCGTAGATGATTTCAATCAGTAATAGTTAACATCGCATTAGTTATGAATCCTTCTGCTACAGGTATCTAATCACAACCACTTGTGGATGGAAATTGAATTCAGTTTTATTGTGACGATTTACTCAATGCGTTTTTAAAATGATGTCGAAAAGGAGACTGATTTTCTGTTTCTGTATTGGATAAGTTTGGGTGATACGTTTTAGTACACATAAACTATAATTAATCGGCAGTTTTGTCAAGTTTGTTTTGTGGAGTCAATGAAAAATTGGTGATGGAGCCGCAGGTTCTCGTACTTGTACTTGTCAAATGAATAACATCATGAAATCATCGGCAATAATAGGATATATGAAAAGTCATCCACACCATCAATACAACTAATTTTAACATAAAAAATATGTTAATATAGCTCCCTATGCGAAAACAAAGAGATTTTTGGCTGTTATTCACAGGTGAAAGAAAGTGGTGTGAAATGAAATCGACAATCAATGATGACAACTAAAAGCATATCGATCAGCTAAATAACAGACTCCGTGTAGCCTCCTCACGTTGCAGAAACATGCTGCAAAACTGTGCTCCGAATGCGTGTATAAAATAATTTGACCGAATATTAAGAGAACGTCAGTAAATATACTAATCACTACGAGATTTGATCATTCGATTTTGTAAGTAATGGAATCTGAGACAGGCATGCCGTGACATTCACTTTAAACATGCGCCCTACTGAAATTCAAATGTGAACCCATATAGTACGCGAACCTGAATCAAAAAAGCTAATTAAAATTTGCATCTACGATATCCCATGGTACAAAAGTCTTACTATTCAACCTCATGTCCACTTGTTGATGACCAAGGAATGCCACGAAAATTTGCTACATATTCACTCTGCGTATCCATGAAAGTAATAGGAAACAGGCTGATTGATTTTCTGTTGATATACTCCACTGATGCAAATGATATATCACAACATATTCATCAAATTTATTGCCTTGTTGCTTTATATTTCACACCTTTCGTAAAAATGAAATATTGTTGGGACTTGTGGCATAGTCACCACGATTGAAGGTATTTGAGAAGGCACTGAATCTCTAAAAGTTATATCAATGTACTCTGTCAGCCTACGTCCCCATCAATCATAAAACTTTAGTGCCTCATGATATGAAGATTAAAACTAAAACAAACATGCATGTGAAAATCTTTGGCATAGTATTTCTTCAGGATTTAAAGATAGCATTTTGTAATCACAACCAGATTTAGGCTTATATTTTACAATTTTAAATAGATATTCAATTGAAAGTTAACTCAAAAAGCATCAAAACTTACTAAGGATGCTTGCGTTGTCGATCACAAGGGCGGATAAGCAGAGAATAAGCCACAGTAACATTTCTAGTTCTATAAAAATTGGCGCAAATTAATGTGAGCATTATGTACTTCTTTGACTATTTATACTAAATCTGAAACGATCTATTGCGTGTTGATATAATAAAAAGTTAAAACGATTCTTACAACTGAATGTAGAAAAAATATTTACTGCATCTAGGTGTGCCTTTACTCATAAAAAAATCAATTATATCGCGTAAAAAGCACAACCTATGAATAAAAACATTTTAGACATTTGTATAGTGACACATATCTTAAGTTTCTGCTTCAACGATGACATTGAAAAAATATGATATAAATCGAAGATCTCACTAATCTGTCCTGATTAAATAGAAAAAACAAACATTCTTATGTTTCAAAAAATCATCACTTTTATTAGTAATCATTTTGAAATATTTACGCATTTCTATCGAGGATATAAAACATCGATTTGACAATAGAATTTAAACATTTTGTGCTTCTGTAAAAACTACTTTTATTCTTGATAAAATTGTTCAATATATCCCTCATTGTGTTGTATCAAGTAAAAATACTCTCTTTGAATGTAAAACTTTCTATTCAATTTATTAGTGTTGCGTTGTATAATTCATTCACAGTAAGAAATTGTTGGCGGAGTAAGCTGTTCACCGATCATTCTGTTTCGTGAATGAATCTACTTCGTAGATGAATATGATGCTCAGCATCCCTAATGTAAGCTAAAACAAAGCTGTGAATTTTCCTCTTTTGTCCACTGATTAGGCTCATAGAATTAGGTTAGGAAATTCGTTGATGTGCATGCTTCATTATACACCCAATTTAACTGTATTCGCGAGATCACTCAAACCGAGAAGGGAGATTCTTAGTTTCCAAACGTGAATTTGAGGTGACCTTGAAGAGGTAGTGTAACTGTTCCCTTCTTAATGTTCTCACCACAGTATCGTCAAAGCATCCTTTTATTACTTCATAAATGTGCTTAGTGTTTAGAGAAGTACACAATCAGAGTGCCATTAAAAACCTTCATTATTAACATAGAATAAACTAGGAATTTATAATAGTGATGTAGAATGAAGTCAAAACATTTTATGTAATATGCATATCTCAGATCGGTTGGGAAATAGAGATCAGTGGATTCTTTGCTATATGACTGAATCGTTCATTCGTTCATTGCATCCGAAAGCACAAAGGGCTGGTTCATCTAGTGCTTTGAAATATTATTCGCTTTGTTTTCGTCGCATGAATCAACAGTTACTGGTTCCAACCAACTGCCTTCACTCTTGAGAGCGAAGACCTCAAACTCATTTGAGTGTTTTCCCTTAATGGTTTAGAATTAAGTACTTATTTCGTGACCGCCCACCGCAAAGTCTAAGTAAATTCAGGTGGGGAAGGCAGTTTAAGTGCATATATAAGTCAAAGCAACCTTGACAGAACCAAGGAAGCAGCGATAATAATTAGAAACGATAGGCCTTCCAAGGTTTTTACAATCCCGAAATCCATCACTTCATAGTTAAAACTTACGGTGAATATACCAGGAATAAAACTGATAACTCAAATATTGACAGAATTTTGGCGAAATCAATGAAGTGAAATTGATTACGAATGAAGGAGTAATTGTCTTGTGTCACGTTACCATAACCAGTAAACAAAAACCCCACCAGACAGTTGTCTTACTGGATAATGTATTACATTCCGATTCTCCCCATAAATATTTGAGTATTGGACGCAAACCAAACATTGATGCCATGGGTAATAAACTTCATTCAAAAGTTTAGTGCAAAGATTATCATGGCTAATTATCAAAGGGACACTAAAATGAGACCTATGTTGGCACTCAAGCCGATAAGTAATATATTGTAAGGAAACTCGCTTATATGTAAGTGGTCAAGAGTGAATATTATCAAGATGTGATGAGTTCTATGTTAGTTGGAAACGAGACCAAGCAGTGACAGCGGATCTCAATGTGTATCCATCTTCAAAGTAGATCCTATCACAAACTAGAGTGATAAAATGATCGGTAAACAGCTCACTCCGATAACAATTTCTTACTGTGAATTAATTCTACAGTGGAAAATCTACAACGCAAAACTAACAAATTGAATAGAAAGTTTTACATTCAACGTGAGTATTTTTACTTGATACAACACATTGAAGGATACATTGAACAATTTTATCAAGAATAAAAGTAGTTTTTACAGAAGCACAGAATGTTAAAATTCTATTTTAATTGATTTTACAAATACTTAATGCCAACATTGTCGTTTGTCTGTTTTACAGAATTGTCGATTTTACTCTGTATTATTTTCCATTTAATCCCCTTATGGTTAAGGCGGAAAATATTCTGACTCAGATGAATACTTTATATGATTTCGCCTTACACATACACTAAGGAGCGCTTTGGAATAGTTACCATCAAAAAGAAGTACTGAAGAAGATGACGGTGAACAATGCTCCTTCTTTATAATTCATAAAATTTAATGCCTGAATCTGTTGAACATTCATCGAAAGACGACCTCATTTTGAATGCATGCGTGTGATGTTTCTGAATCTGTAAGTGTTCAGTTTCTTTGCTTCACCTCAAATATTTTTTTGCTTTCGTCGGTACTACATAAGCCAAAATTTTTATTGGCTGTGATGTGAATTTTGGGTTTGGGAAACTTCACACATAAACTACTTCAGGCTGTCGCCTTGATGATAGGTTTTCCATAGCAATGTGAATTGTAGTTAAAGATGCGACTGTATGATTGTGATAGTCACAAGATAGCTGAAGATTTAATTGAGAAAACAAGAAATTCATGTAGATCTTTAGACATAGTGATTGCATCCTGCACAGCCGGTGGCAAACCACACAATTCGAATGATAAATTAAAAAATACACTTTTCGAAATGACTGATAAAGATGTGTGAAAGGCCCTCTGAAATAGTTGGAAAGCATCAAATCATAATTAAATATGGAAAACTAATGAAATGCCAGTTGTTCATTCTGCGCACATCCAAAAATATTTAGAAGGCGTCATGAATTCCGCATTCACAAACAGCAGACACAACACCAATCATTGTGCATCATGATTTTCAGAACATCGCACGAGCATCTCATTACCGTGATAATTTGCAACACATATTCACTAATAGCCTGAAGAATGCAATATTCTATTTTGATATGATGTTTCTGGAATGGGCTTCCCTAAGGAGATTGAAGAGGCTGGATATAGTCAGAGTTGTTAATGATAAAATTTTTCATCAAATGAAAATCAAAATTTTAGAAGAAGCTACTTCAAGGAAAAATCTTAGAGTCATGGTTTTCAGATGAAGCTGTGAATTAGCTCGTGGCAATACTTGATAAGCTTTCTAAACTATTCTTTCTTTCAACATCATTGTATTGGGCTGTTTTCAAATAAAAGACTGTGGCAAAAGGGGACGCAATGAAGCACGAATACCCTTCTACATTCACTTTTAATCAGTAATCAAAATCAAGAAACGATGATTCAGAAGTTGAGTTAGAAAGTGAACCCCAACAGGAATAAATTCGTGTTAATAATTATGAAGCAGAAAGCATCCTCGACGACTGTAATGTTCAGACTAATTTCGTCACATAAGACTAAGAGCAGCGGCGAACCACATGAGATGCAACAATATTGCTACCTTAACAGCAACCTTATATTTACGGCATTTCTTCTAAAACGACACCAGGTTTGATACCTAGAAACTGTTTTATGAACAAAGCAAAAACAACAATTGTACCAGGATAATATGAGCTCATCTTTTATTATTTCGAGGATTCTTCTCAACTGGTTACAGCCTGAACGTTAAAAATTTCAATTACATTACACCTTTCTGCAGCTTGCATTCAAAGGTGATGATACTGCTAGTAGAATAAGATGCAGACTGAACGCTGCCATGAAGAGAACATATCCAGCCGCCAAGCTTGTATGTGTTTATCAAACAACTAGTTGTTTGAGACAATCAAAAGTGGACAAATACCCACCTCATGTTACCTCCAACTGTGTCTACCAATTTACATGTACGTGCCAAAGCACATACATTGGAAGAACAGAGAGAAGGGTTAGTGTCCGCATCTATGAACACATACCAAAGAACTTGGGACTGAAAGGTCCGCAAGCATTAAACAGTGCTATTGCTCGTCATCTATTGGACACTGGTCATATTGTAGACAACCTGAGGTCGTTTAAAATAATCAACAAGCAAAAGAAACCTAGCTTGCTACGCTTTGCCATCAAACGACTTAAACCAAATCTATGTACGCAGAAAGAGACAGTGGTGAATCTTGCACTGCTCTGGTGATAACAAAAAAATATACAACTTTCATGAGTCACTTTTTCCATGTTTTGAAAACTCTACTCTCTCATAAAAACATGACTCATCCTACCTTGTTTCTTTTCTTTCTTTTTTCTATTGGCTATTAGATAGGATGCTTTCTTTAGTTACGTAATCTACTTTTTGTCATGCTCTTTCTAGCCAAACCTTGTTTCTACACACACACATACATATATATATATATATGTGTATACATATCATGTATATATATATATATATGTGTGTGTGTGTGTAGAAACAAGGTTTGGCTAGAAAGAGCATGACAAAAAGTAGATTACGTAACTAAAGAAAACGTCTTATCTAATAGCAAATAGAAAAAAGGAAAGAAAAGAAACAAGGTAGGGTGAGTCATGTTTAGGTGAGAGAGTAGAGTTTTCTAAATATGAAAAAGGTGACTCATGAAAGTTGCATATTTTTTTGTTATCACCAGAGCAGTGCAAGATTCACCACTGTCTCTTTCTGCGTACATAGATTTGGTTTAAGTCGTTTGATGGCAAAGCGTAGCAAGCTAGGTTTCTTTTGCTTGTTGATTATTTTAAACGACCTCAGGTTGTCTACAATATGACCAGTGTCCAATAGATGACGAGCAATAGCACTGTTTAATGCTTGCGGACCTTTCAGTCCCAAGTTCTTTGGTATGTGTTCATAGATGCGGACACTAACCCTTCTCTCTATTCTTCCAATGTATGTGCTTTGGCACGTACATGTAAATTGGTAGACACAGTTGGAGGTAACATGAGGTGGGTATTTGTCCACTTTTGATTGTCTCAAACAACTAGTTGTTTGATAAACACATACAAGCTTGGCGGCTGGATATGTTCTCTTCATGGCAGCGTTCAGTCTGCATCTTATTCTACTAGCAGTATCATCACCTTTGAATGCAAGCTGCAGAAAGGTGTAATGTAATTGAAATTTTTAACGTTCAGGCTGTAACCAGTTGAGAAGAATCCTCGAAATAATAAAAGATGAGCTCATATTATCCTGGTACAATTGTTGTTTTTGCTTTGTTCATAAAACAGTTTCTAGGTATCAAACCTGGTGTCGTTTTAGAAGAAATGCCGTAAATATAAGGTTGCTGTTAAGGTAGCAATATTGTTGCATCTCATGTGGTTCGCCGCTGCTCTTAGTCTTATGTGACGAAATTAGTCTGAACATTACAGTCGTCGAGGATGCTTTCTGCTTCATAATTGTTAACACGAATTTATTCCTGTTGGAGTTCACTTTCTAACTCACCTTCTGAATCATAGTTTCTTGATTTTGATTACTGATTAAAAGTGAATGTAGAAGGGTATTCGTGCTTCATTGCGTCCCCTTTTGCCACAGTCTTTTATTTGAAAACAGCCCAATACAATGATGTTGAAAGAAAGAATAGTTTAGAAAGCTTATCAAGTATTGCCACGAGCTAATTCACAGCTTCATCTGAAAACCATGACTCTAAAATTTTTCCTTGAAGTAGCTTCTTCTAAAATTTTGATTCTCATTTAATGAAAAATTTTATCAATAACAACTCTGACTATATCCAGCCTCTTCAATCTCCTTAGGGAAGCCCATTCCAGAAACATCATATCAAAATAGAATATTGCATTCTTCAGGCTATTAGTGAATATGTGTTGCAAATTATCACGGTAATGAGATGCTCGTGCGATGTTCTGAAAATCATGATGCACAATGATTGGTGTTGTGTCTGCTGTTTGTGAATGCGGAATTCATGACGCCTTCTAAATATTTTTGGATGTGCACAGAATGAACAACTGGCATTTCATTAGTTTCCCATATTTAATTATGATCTGATAGTTTCCATCTATTTCAGAGGGCCTTTCACACATCTTTATCAGTCATTTCGAAAAGTGTATTTTTTAATTTATCATTCAAATTGTGTGGTTTGCCACCGGCTGTGCAGGATGCAATCACTATGTCTAAAGATCTACATGAATTTCTTGTTTTCTCAATTGAATCTTCAGCTATCTTGTGACTATCACAATCACACAGTCGCATCTTTAACTACAATTCACATTGCTATGGAAAACCTATCATCAAGGCGACAGCCTGAAGTAGTTTATGTGTGAAGTCTCCCAAACCCAAAATTCACATCACAGCCAATAAAAATTTTGGCTTATGTAGTACCGGCGAAAGTAAAAAAATATTTGAGGTGAAGCAAAGAAACTGAACACTTACAGATTCAGAAACATCACACGCATGCATTCAAAATGAGGTCGTCTTTCGATGAATGTTCAACAGATTCAGGCATTAAATTTTATGAATTATAAAGAAGGAGCATTGTTCACCGTCATCTTCTTCAGTACTTCTTTTTGATGGTAACTATTCCAAAGCGCTCCTTAGTGTATGTGTAAGGCGAAATCATATAAAGTATTCATCTGAGTCAGAATATTTTCCGCCTTAACCATAAGGGGATTAAATGGAAAATAATACAGAGTAAAATCGACAATTCTGTAAAACAGACAAACGACAATGTTGGCATTAAGTATTTGTAAAATCAATTAAAATAGAATTTTAACATTCTGTGCTTCTGTAAAAACTACTTTTATTCTTGATAAAATTGTTCAATGTATCCTTCAATGTGTTGTATCAAGTAAAAATACTCACGTTGAATGTAAAACTTTCTATTCAATTTGTTAGTTTTGCGTTGTAGATTTTCCACTGTAGAATTAATTCACAGTAAGAAATTGTTATCGGAGTGAGCTGTTTACCGATCATTTTATCCCTCTAGTTTGTGATAGGATCTACTTTGAAGATGGATACACATTGAGATCCGCTGTCACTGCTTGGTCTCGTTTCCAACTAACACAGAACTCATCACATCTTGATAATATTCATTCTTGACCACTTACATATAAGCGAGTTTCCTTACAATATATTACTTATCGGCTTGAGTGCCAACATAGGTCTCATTTTAGTGTCCCTTTGATAATTAGCCATGATAATCTTTGCACTAAACTTTTGAATGAAGTTTATTACCCATGGCATCAATGTTTGGTTTGCGTCCAATACTCAAATATTTATGGGGAGAATCGGAATGTAATACATTATCCAGTAAGACAACTGTCTGGTGGGGTTTTTGTTTACTGGTTATGGTAACGTGACACAAGACAATTACTCCTTCATTCGTAATCAATTTCACTTCATTGATTTCGCCAAAATTCTGTCAATATTTGAGTTATCAGTTTTATTCCTGGTATATTCACCGTAAGTTTTAACTATGAAGTGATGGATTTCGGGATTGTAAAAACCTTGGAAGGCCTATCGTTTCTAATTATTATCGCTGCTTCCTTGGTTCTGTCAAGGTTGCTTTGACTTATATATGCACTTAAACTGCCTTCCCCACCTGAATTTACTTAGACTTTGCGGTGGGCGGTCACGAAATAAGTACTTAATTCTAAACCATTAAGGGAAAACACTCAAATGAGTTTGAGGTCTTCGCTCTCAAGAGTGAAGGCAGTTGGTTGGAACCAGTAACTGTTGATTCATGCGACGAAAACAAAGCGAATAATATTTCAAAGCACTAGATGAACCAGCCCTTTGTGCTTTCGGATGCAATAAACGAATGAACGATTCAGTCATATAGCAAAGAATACACTGATCTCTATTTCCCAACCGATCTGAGATATGCATATTACATAAAATGTTTTGACTTCATTCTACATCGCTATTATAAATTCCTAGTTTATTCTATGTTAATAATGAAGGTTTTTAATGGCACTCTGATTGTGTACTTCTCTAAACACTAAGCACATTTATGAAGTAATAAGAGGATGCTTTGACGATACTGTGGTGAGAACATTAAGAAGGGAACAGTTACACTACCTCTTCAAGGTCACCTCAAATTCACGTTTGGAAACTAAGAATCTCCATTCTCGGTTTGAGTGAACTCGCGAATACAGTTAAATTGGGTGTATAATGAAGCATGCACATCAACGAATTTCCTAACCTTATTCTATGAGCCTAATCAGTGGACAAAAGAGGAAAATTCACAGCTTTGTTTTAGCTTACATTAGGGATGCTGAGCATCATATTCATCTACGAAGTAGATTCAATCACGAAACAGAATGATCGGTGAACAGCTTACTCCGCCAACAATTTCTTACTGTGAATGAATTATACAACGCAACACTAATAAATTGAATAGAAAGTTTTACATTCAAAGAGAGTATTTTTACTTGATACAACACAATGAGGGATATATTGAACAATTTTATCAAGAATAAAAGTAGTTTTTACAGAAGCACAAAATGTTTAAATTCTATTGTCAAATCGATGTTTTATATCCTCGATAGAAATGCGTAAATATTTCAAAATGATTACTAATAAAAGTGATGATTTTTTGAAACATAAGAATGTTTGTTTTTTCTATTTAATCAGGACAGATTAGTGAGATCTTCGATTTATATCATATTTTTTCAATGTCATCGTTGAAGCAGAAACTTAAGATATGTGTCACTATACAAATGTCTAAAATGTTTTTATTCATAGGTTGTGCTTTTTACGCGATATAATTGATTTTTTTATGAGTAAAGGCACACCTAGATGCAGTATATATTTTTTCTACATTCAGTTGTAAGAATCGTTTTAACTTTTTATTATATCAACACGCAATAGATCGTTTCAGATTTAGTATAAATAGTCAAAGAAGTACATAATGCTCACATTAATTTGCGCCAATTTTTATAGAACTAGAAATGTTACTGTGGCTTATTCTCTGCTTATCCGCCCTTGTGATCGACAACGCAAGCATCCTTAGTAAGTTTTGATGCTTTTTGAGTTAACTTTCAATTGAATATCTATTTAAAATTGTAAAATATAAGCCTAAATCTGGTTGTGATTACAAAATGCTATCTTTAAATCCTGAAGAAATACTATGCCAAAGATTTTCACATGCATGTTTGTTTTAGTTTTAATCTTCATATCATGAGGCACTAAAGTTTTATGATTGATGGGGACGTAGGCTGACAGAGTACATTGATATAACTTTTAGAGATTCAGTGCCTTCTCAAATACCTTCAATCGTGGTGACTATGCCACAAGTCCCAACAATATTTCATTTTTACGAAAGGTGTGAAATATAAAGCAACAAGGCAATAAATTTGATGAATATGTTGTGATATATCATTTGCATCAGTGGAGTATATCAACAGAAAATCAATCAGCCTGTTTCCTATTACTTTCATGGATACGCAGAGTGAATATGTAGCAAATTTTCGTGGCATTCCTTGGTCATCAACAAGTGGACATGAGGTTGAATAGTAAGACTTTTGTACCATGGGATATCGTAGATGCAAATTTTAATTAGCTTTTTTGATTCAGGTTCGCGTACTATATGGGTTCACATTTGAATTTCAGTAGGGCGCATGTTTAAAGTGAATGTCACGGCATGCCTGTCTCAGATTCCATTACTTACAAAATCGAATGATCAAATCTCGTAGTGATTAGTATATTTACTGACGTTCTCTTAATATTCGGTCAAATTATTTTATACACGCATTCGGAGCACAGTTTTGCAGCATGTTTCTGCAACGTGAGGAGGCTACACGGAGTCTGTTATTTAGCTGATCGATATGCTTTTAGTTGTCATCATTGATTGTCGATTTCATTTCACACCACTTTCTTTCACCTGTGAATAACAGCCAAAAATCTCTTTGTTTTCGCATAGGGAGCTATATTAACATATTTTTTATGTTAAAATTAGTTGTATTGATGGTGTGGATGACTTTTCATATATCCTATTATTGCCGATGATTTCATGATGTTATTCATTTGACAAGTACAAGTACGAGAACCTGCGGCTCCATCACCAATTTTTCATTGACTCCACAAAACAAACTTGACAAAACTGCCGATTAATTATAGTTTATGTGTACTAAAACGTATCACCCAAACTTATCCAATACAGAAACAGAAAATCAGTCTCCTTTTCGACATCATTTTAAAAACGCATTGAGTAAATCGTCACAATAAAACTGAATTCAATTTCCATCCACAAGTGGTTGTGATTAGATACCTGTAGCAGAAGGATTCATAACTAATGCGATGTTAACTATTACTGATTGAAATCATCTACGCTTTAGTTAATAATAATTAAATAATTGTCTTTGCACCTTAGATGCACAACCTTCAATTGTTTTGTATGATGGCTTCCTGAATGTGGACGCCATTACATATGTAGACATTCTGATACCTTTACTCTCAGTCAGCGATTATTCCACCACTTCCAGTCACTCATGTGACTAATAAACACTGACTGGCAAATTTTATGTTGCAACACAAATTAGCAAATTGTGATGAGAATATTAACAGTCTGAATGACATGAAGATTTTCTTGCTTGATTGTCTATACAGAAAGCGTGAGCATGTCGAATCGGGGAAGTAATCCATAGCTTCATGTGCTATGTGCTGTTAGAAAGAACACAATTTAATAATTATCAGTGCTTTTCAAAAATGACTGCAACTGTGTCAAAGAAGGCGAGCATTTCGAAACAGCTTCTTATCGCTTGTAAAACTTATGAGGTTGGTTTACCAACTGTTTTCGATGTGAAGTTTTTCAGCCCGCGATTTACTCAACTGATCGTCGTTTAGCTCTCGCAGTGTCAGTTAGGCGCTGTAGAATTCACAACAATATCCCTTTATAACATTCCACTTGAACTGGTTAATATCCCTTTGGTGACATTCAAGGTCAAATAGGCGATCATTTCTTAGTATTTGTAGGTCTGAGAAACTGTCACACCAGATGATATTATATCATCTGTTGAAAGACACTGTAATATGGTTGTCGTATAGGGATTATCAATGCTTCTAATAAAAACGATCAATACCACGTATCTCTAGTATTCTGTTGTTGTGGCTTACTAGAGCATATTATTATCAGCAGCCAACAGCTTTTTCGTTATCACTGTTTGTTGTGCTTAGAACTGTGACAGGATGACATGTCATAATTTTCACATCTCTTCCTTAATATCTACATACTGAAATTTCCACATTGACGACTAGATTTATGAGATAACAAGCGAACTGTGACCGGGTTTAATCCATTTGAATTTTTTGGGATGAAAAGTGTTTCTGACGAGTGTGATGTTGATACGTATTCACTTAGGGGTGACATATATGGTGCGCTATGCCTAAGCAGTTGCTAAAATATATCCACCTTTACTGAACAATGAAGTTAGTGATTAATATTGAAAGAATCTGATTCTGAGCTGGACAGTGAACACCATATCTCTATAAACATTTTGAATTAGGAAAAATTTTGAAATATACAATTACCGTTTCACAAAACCTGCAATTTAGATTCTTAGTAAACGAAATAAGATATTTACGAGTAATAACCACTTAGGTTTGCGCTTTTTAATCTCAACCAGTGGTTTCACGACAAATTAACTTCAATTGTATTCATTTCTAAGCCACAAAATGGCTCAGTAACTTTGATTGTCCATTTACCATGTCAGTTGCATGTTTATTACTCACCAGTTCATAGACACATTCTACCTGTCTGAACACTACTGTCGACTAAAATCCACTTAGTTTCAAACCATCAGTCATCTTCTATGTGAAGTTTATTACATTTCGCTAATTCACTTTATCACGGTGTATAGGAAACCTGATAGAGGCATACGTGTTTGCAAATAATTACATTTCACACAAAAAATAATCAAGTTATCTGTTGTGATATGATTGAAAACCCTTCGGCTATGAGTGAATTAACAATGATGGCACAATCACAGGATATCGGAATGGCTAACAATAAAGTGACACTTGGAATGAATTAATTACTTGGTTGTCATTGCGAAAACATATGGATTATCTGAAAAATTCAAGTCATTTGAGAATCCCATTTCGGATACTCTGATCCTCTCTTTATCTATCAATTTAAATTAGAAGAAGACTAGCCCAGAAGATGTGGGGAATGAGAGAGGCTCAGCAAATATTTCACCTACATTTCACTCAACAAGTTTCAGGGAAATTGGTACAACAGGATATCGACAATGTTCATCAATCACTTCTTACATTGTGTTAAAATTCTCATATTTCATCTAACAAAATCGTACAGATTACACGGGAAAGTAGAACGAGCCAATCCCGTGTAGTGAGTGACGATTATTGGGTGTATTTTTCTGCGCCATTTGATGCCACGTTTTGCACTTTTACCACATGACATGTACATAGTGCGTGAATGCGTCCTTTATTTCAATTTTAAACATTTATTAACTAAACAGTTGGAAGCATTTTAACGCATGGTGTCTTTTGGTGCACTTAAATGAGATGTCAAAAATAAATAAGATCAGTCATCCGGTGTGAAGTTAGGTTGAGACTAAACTGATCATTTGTGAAGATATGAATAAACGTCTCGCCTTGATGGATTATGAGCAACAAATTGTGATCGAAAAGTCATTGGTAAACATTACTGTATAACACTGTGAGACTCTATCAAAACAAATTTTTCCCATAATGGAGTCTTACTAGTTTGTTTGTCTCACATTGAAATAGTAGAATACTTAAAATATTGAAAATGATCATCCCATAGACGACGACAACAAAAGTAAGTCTATTTGTAGAAATACTGATTAATATATATATATATATATATATAATATATATATATACATATATATATATATATAATTTCGTTTTATTAACTCTTGAAACGTGTACTTTTGTTTCGGCTCAAGTGATTTTCTAAAATAAGTCATTAGTAGCATTCAGGAACACTGTTTCAGCAGTATGTTCAAAAAGCTCTGAGGAGATGTGCAAGTAACACCACACATCGTACTCCCATGTAGGAGTTGGTAAGTATGTCGTCTGAGAGTGACATGGTGGAGATAATGATATGAAAAAATGAAAACTTGTGGGTAGTTGTAGAGCTGGTTGAAAATGACTGTGGACAGCAGAGCAAAGCGGACGTGTTCTCCTAAAGCTGTATTCTTCAGAGAATGGCGAAATAGCAAACTGCGCGAGGTTGAGTGAGGACTTCAGAAGAAGAAACTGTACGTTTTAGGTGCTTTCTGAGAAGGTAGATTAGAGAAAACTAGACTGCTATTCGAGAATTAATATGAACTTTTTCTTTACTATTCTTTACTACATTCTATCTCATATAACTTCAGACTACTTTTTACTGATAAGAAGTGCACTTACTTTTTATAGTGGAAGACGTGACACTGCCTAACATTAAGATAGAATATTGATTGCAAACACATTCTTCACACTCTTTTTCGTTTCTTAGATCATAATTTTACCTCGCGATGCAGGAAATTTCATCATTCAACTTTGTTTCATAATATCTCCTTTTTTTTCAACATATTTTAATTCATTCTACTTATTTTATTGACGTTAACTCATACATCATGCATCTGTGTTATATAATATTTAACCTAACAAATTCACATATTCACACTTCCCAAATTAATTATACTTCCTGTCAACTATTACTCAAATGGCTGCTGTAGCATAGTGCTAACATTTATTTATCCCTGTTTTTGATTCATAATGAGAGACACTAATATTATTGCACTTGGATATTCCCATTCACTATCGAATTGTAGCACACATCACAACATTTATTTCACACCTACATATTATTGTACAGCTAGGAAAACGAAATCGTTGCAGGCAACATTTTTTTTCGTTCATTTTTCGTTGTTAATATGATTATGAAATCCAACTGGATTTTCTCCACCTGTGAATGTTTATTTTATTATGTATATGGATATACTATTTGGAGTCTCCATTTCTCGACAGCAATACGAAGTCGAATTTTATTAGGCAAACACTCATAGCCTCGTTTTATATATATGTATGTATGTATTTATCAGGATGCTACATATAACTGAGGTCTGCACTAGAAAGAATAAGGGCTGTTAATTGGATGACTTTATCAGGATCTATTTTAGTAGGTGGTATGAAATACTGCTGTGAAGGTGATAATCTGTAAATCTAACTGACCTTCAGGGGATCTCATTTTTCAATAGGTGAAATAGACTTTTAGATAAATAGACGAACTAGTATTGAGTGGTCCTAGACGGCGTTACGCAGCGTTAAAACTTTATTGTTTATTGTTACTACACTTAAGTGGAAAACTATTGTGTTAAAAGGAGTGGGCTTCCTTGTTGTGATCGATAAGACAGATAAATAAATGTCTACAAAGTCTCTCTTGAAATAACGATGAACAATGTATTCGAAATAACGAAGTTAACAATTTCGCCTCACTCTTTGATACAAATAGGTGACACTGTGGAACACATATTCATTTGAGTGAATTCGATTTCAACTGTTAAGTGTACACGGTTACCATAAATAGGAACTGAACACAGGCAACTTGTTTGAAGGGCTTATAAACTATCCGTACGTTATTATAAAAGCTTAATTCTCACTGGTTTGTGAAGCTGTATGATGATATATTCATGAAATGAAATGTTCCGGAATACATATGCTGGTGACTGAATAATGGTGCCGTGAGTTTTGTTTATTCAAGTCTATGATTTCTATTTGGTTTACGTAGAGACTAGAAAATATTTAAACACCATGTTCGCATATATTTGTGGTAGGAGAGTTTGCTGTTCTCTGTACTGTTGTCAGATACATATAAATATTGAAACGAAACATTTCTATAAACTTAAATACTAATAATTGCATATAAATAATTGTGTGTCCATATTCACCTTGTTGCAGATTGTGAAAGTTAGTATTGTACTGAATTTCCGACTTTATCATATATTGGCTTTTCAAATGTTTATCTCATCATAATGAGGGCAATCACCTTTTCATTAGAACACTAGTTGTTGTGTCTGAATGACTGATGTAATCATGAGAGTGGACTTTAATTTGTAAGAAATTTTGAGAAGTTTTATAGAACAACATATAAAATCTCGATGTTCTGACAGCTAGCGATGAATAATGAAGACGTCTTCGACATTTATCGCTCAGAATTGTGCATGTGGGAGTTCTTTCTTCAAACTTCTTAATATTCAGCAATTCACATTATTAATATGCCTTACAAATAAAGGGGAAGAAGACACCATGAGGTTAATTACAGTCACTATTAAAGGAAACATACTGAAGTGAAGTTACAGTGATATTTTGAAGCATCAGTCTGATTAGTTATACTGCAAGAAAGACTGAACAACGCATTTTATGCGTAAGTTACACTTTAGTGCATTCACCAAATTTCAACATTGTCGGAATTGTAGACTTGGCAAGTAAGTTGAAATATACGGAAAACTGCAAGTAATTCATATGAAATTCTTAATTCACTTTGTTGACTCCGAGGTCAACAAGTCACAAATGACAGAGTTAAGATCAAAAAACACGATTTTTATTTACCCCGTTATATGTAATGACTTCCTCACCACCTGGAATTCATAAATAAGTAAATGAGGGTTTCTGACTGAGTAAAGTAAGTGTTGAGTAGAGTAGATTTTGAAGTCGATATTGTATTAAAGTTGATTTGTTGACTGCAATGTCACTGAGAACTCTTTAGGAAATAAATATGTACCTGAAATTCTGTTTATCACACATCAAGACCGCATAGATGAATGAAGGTATTTCGATATGAGGGATAATCAGTCTTCTGATATAATGTTCAGCATATGACTATTAGCGGTTAATATGATCAATTCATCTTCACAATGTTCTCAAGACGAAAGCTTCCAAGATACCTTAAAATCTCTTAGTAGCTTCTGCATCCATCATTAGATCAAAACAATTTAGACTTCTTAATACCCCTTAGATTATCCATTTGTAAGCAAGTTAGTAAGGTACTTGAAAGTAACAGCGATCTCATCAGACCGATTAATGCGGTGTATATGCAGCATTTAGATATGAATTCGTAAAACAGTTAATGGGATAATACTTGGTACAGGTTTGATAACGAAGAGGAAGTTTAAAAATTCGTGCCGTGAAAATGGACAATGCGTATGTTTCAGAACCATGAGCTGTTAACTGGTTTTCAGCGCATTTTGAACAACTGAAAATCTAAAAAGACGACAGACAAAAAGAAACAATCAGGAAAGTAATTGTGGTTATCATTTGTGTAAATGGTTCACTTCATCAACGAATTTAATTTGAACAAAATTATCATTCATTTTTGTCTCACGCTCAAGAATTACGTAAGTAAATACCTAACTAACTAGATAACCATTTCTAATGACTGGGGAAATCACACGACTTAGATGGCATGATAGCAATAATTTCTTCAACGAGGGAGCGAAAATTTCAAGTAAATGAATAGCATTTATCTCATTTAACTCCACACTGAAAATACGTTAAAAAATTACGAAACCTCTGTTACTGATGATAGAACACTGACAGCCTTTTGGAATGTCAGACAGGTTTAAGTGTGTGTCTTTGAGTCACAATTTTATTGATGTTTCAGTATTCATCAGCTTAACGAAAGTGGTCCGACTCATGTGGTGGAAAACATAATATGAAGACAAACTCGGAATAGGTTTATTCGCCGTGGTAATCCAAAAGGTTCTCACAGAGATGATGCATTCCATTGCTGTAACTAATCATCATCATTTCTTTATAGGACTTCTGAGGATAGTACTTCCCAGAATTTCGAAAGTGCGGCTGTTACTGCACAAGCGAGCATACATGGAATCGATGATACTGACTAATGTCCTCAGCTCCTGCTATTAATTTGTGGTGGGTTAATTGTGGTAAAAATGGATTTTAAAGAGGTTCTAACGCAATTTGCTGAGTAATTAAAAAGCCTGATGAATTATCAAGGAGGGATTGTGGCTTTCAGGATACTTGTTATAATTGCTTTTCTTCCCTGAATACATTTGACTTTTGAGAAAGAGTGAAAGCTGGAAGAAACATACCGATCAAACACAAATGATTTATAATTTGGATTGTGGCTGTTTTCAAAAAAATGTCACTAGTTCATAAGCTACAGTGGATTTATTTCTAAACCAACTAGCGTTTCGAAAGTCACACAAATCGCGGTGGAATTTTGTCACAAAATTTGGATGTTTTCAACTGTCCCGACTTTCTGACTTGAGTAAGGCTGGGTACATCAGTGATGAGCCTGGCCCCAAACGAGTGAAGCCGCCAACTGTTGTGTTGTACACTTCAGTCTGGCTGGAATACACTACTGATTAATTTGAGTGATATCTGGTCTCAGTCAGTCAGTAGTTAATGGTATCACATAAGAAATTGTTTAAGATTACCATTTACATGTGGAGTCTATCTTGAAAGGAGTTGATTTATATTTGTGATTCAAGTAAGACTTCTACTCTCATTTTAGTCTAAGCTGGAAACATTATTAGCCACATCATATAGTCCCTATCAAATTCGCAAAAGGGGGTATTAAGGAATTTTAAGTGAACATAAATTCAGCCGTAGCCAAGAAAATAAACACTGATGTGAATTTTCGCGTGAATTTAGAACTCGAAACAGACCACTCAATATCTAAGAATATTTAGAAATTCTATTTTTGTCCAGTTGATTATTTAAGTGAGTTCCCACATATTAGTTTTCTTATTCCTAATAATTTTGCCTTCGGAAGACTTACTAACTATTACCTCAAATCTGTATACTGTGAATACATTTCATGCTGTTTTATTCAATCTTTCATTAAAATAACTTCAGTAATATTTTAGATACAGCAAACAATTCAACCAGTTTATTCAAAGGTTTATGGTAATATGAAGGTGCTTTCTCAATTCCTGGTGATGTTAGTTATTCAGCTCCTGTACATCATGAGTATCATCTAGCCAAGAAAATTAATTACCAGCTCTCTGTATACAAAAAGGAGATGGTCGTAACTCTTAATTACCTATTAAATGTTAAGATAACATTTTGACATAAGAATAATAGTCAAAATAAATTGTAATCATGCAGCCATGGGTGCCAACACGCCAAAATTTGCAAAAAAACGGATTTACAATACTGGCAAGACAAACACAGCTTCAGAAATAATCAGTAAAAGATTTCAGAATATATCTGTTGGAAATAACAAGAAAACAGAGACAACAGATAGATATCTTTTAAATAAATTTGCGCAAAGTATTTAAAGTAACTAAGTCAGCTCTCAGAGACCCTTGAACATGTGTGCGGCTGCGCAGCACTAAAATGAAGCCTAACACAAAAATTTCTGTTCAGTTTTGCTTCATCGTAAATGTCAACAATATTAATCCCTCCCAATACATAATCTTTAGCTACAGTAGGGTGACAAAATGTTTTTGATTTATTTAACAGCAAGGAGTATGTATAAATATTTCATTGGTATTTAGTAATCTAAGCACAATGCAGAATGCGCTTATTCTGCCAT